TTGCGGCTTAAAGCCAATTTGCTCTGCTTAGTAAATATTGGATAGAGTGTGAATAAGTAGAGGTAATATTTCAAAGCCAGAAAATAGATATGTTCATTTAACGCTTCAAAAAAAATTTGATCGTTTCCTTTGTCTGATGAAGAAAATACTGGCCTTCAGTCTAAATTGTCACAGAGGTTTCACTATAACTTCTGCGAGCCTAACCGTGATTACGTATGTGAAGGTATGCGAAATTATCATTGCTTTTAGGTCTACGTGGTGCTGTCTAGTTTAACATGAATCAAAAATGTCAAGAAAATGTAAATATAAATACTTATAACAAAACGTCAAAAACAAGAAGACAGACAAAACTAACAGCTATAAAAAATCTAACCAGAATAAAGCTTTATATACACAGAATATAAAACTATAACCAGTATAGAATGTAAGAGCAACAAGCCAGACTGAGGTAACTTACTTGTAACTTACTTTTCCTACACTAACTGATGTTGCTTATTAAGCACTTTCATGTACTGCAATAACAGACATTTCACCACATTATTTTAAGATTGTCATATTATTAGTATTTATATATCTACATGTATACCTTCATTCCCTTTATCTATGAGTAATTATACCCCTACAGCACCGGCTATTGGGCATTGAATGCAATCTGGTCTCATACACCAGTAGAGCAGCAAGCCTGCTGTGAACCCTGACACAGTAGCTCTATAGCTGGGTGTATCCTGTCTTTGTACTAATTAAAAAGAAACTGATCCAAAATGAAAACTACAGCCTGCCACTTTGCCACAGCCCTGAGTAACTAGATAACAGTGTTTAGTGAGAAATCAAGATACTTCTAATTTGACATATACTAACAGTGAAATAGATGGCAATATTGCTTCACCAACATCTGCTAAGCTGTCTGATTAGCCTCGGCAGTCTAGACTGGAAAGTGACAGCAGCTATCTCTCTCTGAAGTCTACAGCTGGCTTTAGTTTTGAGCCCACTCACTTCTTCTCTTGGCTGACAGTGTCAGATAAAGCCAACACAAATACAACACAAATAACTAAAGCACATATTTGTTTCCAAGACATTTTTAAGATCTTCATTTGATACAAAACACTACAAGTAGCTTTTTACTGGTATTGTTTATCCACAAATATACACAGCGTGTAAGTGTAAGTAGTATTTTTTTTTTATTTTTAGAAACACACTCATTCACTTCATCTTTAAACCTGACAATACAAGAAAAAGTTTAGCACTGTGATGTCTAATTGCAGCAAAGATGGTGCACGTGTAATGAATGAGGAACAAAGAAACATGTTGGCATCTCAAATTAGAAGACCATAAATCACACTGAGGAGTGGGAGGCATGTTGGGCCAGTGGGAAGGTTGAGACTCTCTCTGCATATTTGAATGTGAAAGCAAAATTATTAATTAATAACAAATATAGGTGTTGTTAATCAAATTAATGAGCCAGAAAAAAAAAGACCAGCCTGTGATTAACAATAGAACAAGCTTGATGTGGCTTACATGTTTGCCAATTGTGATTATCTATAGATAATACTGTAAAAGATGCACTTTTTTCTAAATGGAAGCCTGTTTTGTATTCATAAAGCAATGTGCTTTGGCAGCACACAACAACATACAGTCAATCTACTGATGGCCCTGCTGTCATGAGTTCTATAAGTTGTTTATTTGAATGTGGCGAGTCTGTTGGCACTGTGGGGATGCCAAATGTATAGGGCTGTGGGAAAAAAATGCAGGGATGTCAGGGGAAAAAAAATTGCCAGTAAACATCATCTGTCTATATGACATAAATGCCAGGGCATATTTCCTGTGTTGCTCTTTAACATTAATGCTGCATTTATACTCTTTTACTTCATAATTGTCACAATGGCATTTAGCAGATTTCAGAAATTTTAGATAACAATGCAGCCTTTATATAAGCAAATACATTGACAAACAACCCTACTACAAAAACTAAAAGCCACTGATGGCTTTGTGGCATTCATTATTAGAGCAGCGTTTAAATACTGGAATGGCTCTCGATGGAAATACATGCGTATTTCTTTAATTATTATTATTTACTGAAGAATATCGGGATCCACAGGCGATGATATTACTGCTGTACCAACATTTCAATGTTTTTAAGGCAAACTGTGCTGTAAAAGGAATAAGATAACTGAGAGATAATTATGTGTTTGAAATGACATGATGGTTGTACAGAGATGATGGTTGTACAAAGGGTGGATTTGAGTGCAGAGAGGTCAGGATACCTGTGACGTAGGGTGTGAGACGTACTCCTCGAGATGCTGAGCCGTGCCATTATCTGCAGCTATTTCAATCATACACGGGCCTCCTTGTTTGCCAACAGGCAGATTGTATCTGTTAAAAGAGAAGACACAGAAACCAGGGGTAAGTTAGGAAGCCCTCTCCCTGCCATGTCTGATACTCACAATAACGCCAGCAAAGTGTGGAAAAGGCTCTGATGGAGAAACAAACAGAGCAGACAGCAGTGAAGCTCCTAATGTGACCACAGAGAATATTCTATAAACTTACTAGATATACATTACACATCGTTTTATAAGACACGTTATGCACTGGCACACTGGGTCTGAAGTAATGGTCCGTTTGTATCACAAGCTCTCACCCTAAACACAGGAGAGACAAGAAAAAACAGGCAATGTTTTCCCCAGTTTTGGATTTAAATAAGAAGGCCAGAAACAGGTTTTGGCTCAGGGCTGCAGTGCTTTTTATTTTCTGTAAGTAGTTGTGTTTCTCGGCCAAATTGAAATGGACACAGTACTAAACAGTACCTATGGAGTGCCTAAAGAAAAACCACAGAGTGAGATCACCAATCATAACCAGGTACATGATCTGTGACATAAATACCAGTTTTAATAACATTTTCTATGATTTTCTACCACTGCCACTGCTACTACTGATAACAATGATAACAATAGGCCAAAAACATGATTATGGGTATGAGTGCTCATTATGTCATTCAGGATTAATTAATGATAAAAACGAGGGCACAAACTAGATATACATTACAAACCTAATGAGAAGGAAGATAATTTTATCATTTGACCCTCAGCGTCTCTCTGGGGAAATATACAATTGTAGTAGTCATTAATGTTGCAGCCGTAATGTTAAGTAGATGGTCTACTTGTGTCATATTCCAGCTCTGGCAAAGTCAAGTGATCCCCTCTCCCCAATTCATCACCGGCCTTATGCTGGCAGTACACAATGGAAGCCACTTTAAAAGGCTCAACCTTATGCAAAAGGTTGCACGCTCTCCGCCACACACGTAAGCACGGCAATGCGTGATGCCCTTTGTGTTCTGTGGGTTTCTTTGCCACCAGCCTGTAAACACGCCACACAACTGCGATTCTGCGTATTTCGTAACTTATTCAGCCATTCTTTTTGATTGTACCGATGACGACTGATGAGGAACAACCCTCAAACGTCTGCTTTAATAGCCAGATGGAAACAATCAGAGCAATCGCCCTCCTGCTAATTTGAAACAGCCTTCCAGGACACCTCCCTGCGGCAATCATACTCAACTTCAGGTAGGACTAATTACAGGTGTGGAAATCATAAGAGCCGTTTTGTACACACTCGCTGATAAATTAAGGCACATTTACGTTGGCAAATGTGAAAGGCAACCTAATGTCCACAAAAGACATCCATTAACGTCCTGGTGGTGCTCAGTGTGTTCCAGTGAGCTCACTCTCTTACATTGGGATATTGTCCCGCTGTTCCTTGGATCCTAATGAAAGGGATAGAGTTGTGCGATATATCAATCCTTATCTTTGTGCAACAAAAATGGACCATTTTGCGAGGTATGAAACATCACAGTATCATTACAACCTCTATTGCTGAGGGCGCTTGATGAATATTTTGGTGCTTACCACAGTAGCTTTTATTCGGGCTACTAATGCTACAAAAACTGTCCCTGGGAGATATGGAAAGCATGCGCACAAAGCAAACGGTGATGTTACTTGATGAGTTCTTATGAGCACATTTAATATTCCAGCAAGCTAATTTACAATAGTCTTGCTTTAAGGAAAACGTGACTATTTATATATTTTTAAAAATGAGTACAACTACTTTATGTGGTGTAGATAGCTAGAAATATGGCCCACAGCTCCACATTATAATCGCCACACACATACACACAAGCCCAAAACCAACCAAACAAACATATGAATGAATAAGAAGGAAAAGAAGCAGTGGTTTTCTCTAATGCAGGGAAGAAACTGATTTCTTATTGGGCCCCTTGTGATTCATTTCTGGGTCTCACAGGACCCACGCAGCAAAGTTCCAGTTTGAGGTAAACAAACAGAGACGGATAAATATTTCTCCAAAGACAGACCACACCACAATATGGCTGTGATCATTTTCCTAACTCAATCATCATTTATGCATTTGTTCATCTGGCTAATGTTCTAATCATGAGTGATTTGTCATCTCTAACATCCTCATTTAGACTGCGTCTGGTGTGTGACTAATTAAGGGCAACTGCATTACAGCAACTTTCCGGAGGATCACCACTGAAATATTACCTGGAATGTTAAGGGACCTTGCAAATATTTTCAGGACTGCACCTTTACACAGAGGTATTTGTTAAACCTGAAGGTGGGTGTTTGTCTCTACAATCCAATAAGAACATTCCCTCTTCACAGTCCCCTGCAGACAACTAATAATAAAGGAGGATAATCATTAAAATATTACTTTTGCATGAAACATCTGAAAGTATTGGCAACAGATGGCAGTAAAACATCATGCACTGCACGGTGCCCTTGCAACAGTTTTTAGAGTCTGGGGGGAAAAAAGGCACAAAAAAGGCTTGTTATTCTAGCCATATTTCTGATTCTTACAAAGAGCAAATCATAATGTGTAACATGTAAGTTGTGAATTTATCATTTGTGAGTCATTTGATTGATTTAAGTGTCTGTTAGTTCTGCAAATGGAGACTATGCTCAGTAGGGTTTATTATCAGTGAGCTGTAGCTGGCACACACACACAAAGAAGACAAGTACCAACTGTTACTTTGATACTCTTATTAGCACAACAGGTTGCGGCGCTGCATCTGATGTAACTGAAAATAACCTTACATATGGTTACAAATCATGAAATGTCATATCACGCCACTGCACCTATTGCACAAGATATACAAAGGGGTCTGTTTGTTGTTGTCGTTTTTGTTTTTTATAAGTGCAACATGCTCTGTATCAGATCATAAACTACACCTACATTGACTGTAATGGCTGGCTCTGGTGCAGTTACTTTCACACACGCAGCACTGCAGCATTTGCTGCATAATTTGTGCTGTGACTGGCAAGCCTCAATTAATTTGGGTAGCCTGTGTTCTATCATTATATCTCCAGCAATACAATTAGACAGCACGCAGCAACACTCGTGGTATTGTGAAGCTTCACAAAAGAAACTCCAAGTGAGCAGGCAGGGCTGCTGCTGAATCTTTCATGGGAGGACTTGTCAATACAACTCTGAATAGTGTGTAATTGATACACATACCTTGCTGTGAAAAAAAAAAGGACATGGTTTTAAAAAACAAAAATGGCCCTTATTAAATCAGATACTTTTGAAACAAGTGCACATATGGCGTGGCATTTACCCAAATACATTTTTCTCTATTACTCTCCAAAGGATTAATACCCAGCAGGGAAGTGTTCACTTGTAATGTAGCTGTTTGGTAATTACTTTCACAAACTGCAAAGGGGTTATGTACCCATTAATAGGATAGACGCAAATCATAAGATTGATCTAACCACACCGTATAACAAAATGCACCATTGATTGACTCGCACTAAAATGCCCTCTTAGTTCTATATCAGCAAACATTATGCTGAGTGAAGTAAATCAGTGTTTCGGAGCTGAAGAGGACTCGAAATCAGAAAGCGGAGTTTCCAATGTTTCTGTGACAATAATTCAAAGACGTCAGATTCCCCGACTCCCTGAGATGCCCTGAAATAAGTTACTTTTTTGAAATTCTTTCCAGTGTTTCTTCTCACAGCATAAGTCTGTTTTCTTCCTGGTACCAGCGGCTGTTGCTAGGAGACATTTCACACCCACATGTTCATTTTTATCTAGAAAACTATTCGATGATCACTGAACAGGCCATTAAATATAAGTTTAACGGTTGAATGATTAAATAATCGTTAAAGTTCAATATGCGATGCAAATGATAGCATGCTCGCTGAATTAAAAACTGAACGAGAAACTAAATTCGCCATTTTTTAAATTCTTTTATTATTGTGAAAAGCAACAGTTAGAGAATCATAATTTAATCAGCTACTAATAATTAATGCTCTTCCTGTTATTTGCTGTCCTGTGTTTTGTGGTCAGAGCAAGCACATACTATTTCAGGACACACAGGAAGGGCAAAGCAAGAGCTGCATTAGAAGAATCGTGGGATCCAGTGTTTTGTTTTTGTTTATCGGAGCTGTAGAGGAAGTAAAAATCTGGACATCATGGGCTCATCCATTAGTCATAGACTTGGTTGACTGATCCTTGGCTCATTCTGTTCTGTGCTGGAGGAAAGACACTCAAGAGTATGTGTACAAAAACATTGCTTGGACAAAACAACCCACCAATAATGTGGTCGTAATGTGAATACGGTGCTAATTTGAAAGAAAAGTAATTTAAGGGATCTAATTATGAAGTATACATCGACTGAGAAGCACTTCATTAGGCAAACCTGTTCAATTGCTCATTATCACAAATCATCCAATTCTGTGGGAGAAACTCAGAGCATTTAAACACGTAGACACGGTCAAGACGAGCTGCTGCAGTTCAAACCAAGCACCAGAATCGTGAAGAAGGGTGGTTTAAGTGACTTTGAATGTGGTACGGTTGTTGGTGCCAGACGAGCTGGTTTGAGTATTTCAGAAACTGCTGATCTACTGGGATTTTTTTCCAAACGGCCATTTCTCGGATTTACAGAGAATGTTCTGAAAGAGAGAAAATATCCAGTGAGTGGGAGTTCTCAGGGTGAAAATGCCTTGTTGTTGCTAGAAGTCAGACTGCACTGAGCTGACAGGATGGTAACAGTAACCAGAATAGCCACTCGTTACAACCAGGATATGCAGAAGAGCATCTGTGCAGGCAGATCAATTTGAACCTGAAGTAGCAGCAGAAGACCACACCGGGTGCCCGTCCTGTTAACTAAGAACAGAAACTGAGGCTACAGCTCACACAGACCTACCAAACCTGGAAAGGAGAAAATTGGAAAAATGTTGCCTGGTCTGATGAGCCTCAATTTCTGCTGCAGCATTCAGATGACTAGTCTGAATTTGGTATGAAAACCATTAAAACCTGAATCTATCCTGCCTTGTTTCTGCGGCTCAGGCTGCTGATTG